TAGTAGCAGGAAAGAAATAATAAAGATCAGAGCAGAAATAAAAGACATGGAGACCAAAATAAATATACAAAAGAGTAACAAAACAAACAGTTAGTTTTTTGAATAGATAAAAATCAGCAAACCATTAGCTAGACTAATGATCTATAGCATTCTACCATTACTCAAAGTAATCTACAGATTCAAAAAAAGAGAGATAGAGGACCCAAACAAATAAAATCAGAAATGAAAAAGCAGACATCACATCAAATACCATAGAAATGGAAAGGATAATTACAGACCACTCTGAATAACCATATGCCAATAAATTTGAAAACCTAGTGGAAATAAATTCCTGAACACATATAACCTACCAAAATTGAACCAAAAAGAAACAGAAAACCTGAGCAGACCAACAACAAGTAACAAGATTAAATCAGTAACAAAAAGTCTACTGAAAAAGAAAAGTTCAGGACTGGATGACTTCACCACTGAATTCTACTGAACCTTTAAAGAAGAATGAATACCAATTCTTCTGAAATTATTCCACAAAATTAAAGCAGAAAAATTTAATTATTCCAAAACCAGACACGCACATGACAAAAATTGAAAACTACAGGGCAAAATCCCTGATGAACACAGATGCAAAAATCCTCAACAAAATATTAGCAAATCAAATCCAATAGCCCCTCAAAAAGATAATACACCATGACCAAGTAGGATTTAGCCCAGGAATGCAAGGATTGTTCAACATACGCAAATCAATAAGGATGAAACATCACATCAGCAGAATGAAGGATAAAAACCATATGATCATCATAATGATACAGAAAAACTATTTAATAAAATTCAGCATGCCTTCATGATTAAAACCCTCAAAAAATTAGGTAGAGGAAAAGCACCTCAATACAATAAAGTCCACATATGATAATGCCACAGCTAACATCATACTGTATGGGGAAAAGTTGGAAGCACTTCCTCTAAGAACTGGAACAAGGCAAGAATGCCCACTTTTACCACTGCTGTTCAACATAGTACCAGAAATCCTATCCAGAGCAATCAAGCAAAAGAAATAAATAAAAGGCATACAAGTTGGAAAAGAGGAAGTCAAATTATCCCTGTTTGCTGATCATGTGGTCTTACACTGAGAAAAACCCGAAGACTCCATTTAAAAAACTCCTAGATTTGATGAATGAATTTAGTAAGGTTGCAGGATACAAAATCAACTTACAAAAATCCCATGGCATTTCTATACACAAGTAACAATTTAGCTGAGAAAAAAAAAAAAAGGCAATCCCATTTACAATAGCTACAAGAAAAATAAAATATGTAAAAGTAAATTTAACCAAGCAGGTAAAAGACCTCTGCAAGAAAAACTACAAAACACTGATGAAAGAAATTAAAAGGGATACAAAAAAATGGGAAAACATCCCATTCTCCTGCATCAGAAGAATTAAAATTGTTACAGTGACCATACTACTCAAAGCAATCTACAGATGTGAAGCAATCCTTATCAAAATGCCAATGACATTCTTCACAGAAATAGAAAAGAAAGTCTTAAAATTGGTATGGAACCACAAAAGACCCCAAATAGCCAAAGCAATCCTGAGAAAAAATAACAAAGCTGAAGGTATGTATCATACTACTAGACTTCAAATAAAGTACAAAGTTGTAGTCATCAAAACAGCCTGGTACTAGCAATAAAAACAGACACACAGATCAATGGAACAGCATAGAGAATCCAGAAATCAATCCATATATACAACCAATTGATTTTTGGCAAAAGTGTCAAGAACATATACTGCAGGAAGGACACTCTCTTCAATGAATGGTGCTGGGAAAACTGGATATCCATATGCAGAAGAATGAAACTAGACCCCTCAGCTCTCACTCTATACAAAAAATCCACTCAAAATGGATCAAATACCTAAATGTCAGACTTGAAAAACTATCAAATACTAGAAGAAAACATTGGGAAAACACTTCAGGACCTTGGTCTTGAAAAAGATTTTATGAATAAGACCTCAGAGGCATAGGCAACAAAAACAAAAATAAACAAATGGAATCATATTAAACTAAAAAGCTTGTGCACAGCAAAGGAAACAATCAACAGAGTGAAAAGGTAACCTGCAGAATGAAAGAAAATATTTGCAAACTATTTATCTGACATGGGATCAATATCCAGAATACAGAAGAAACTCAAATATCTCCACAGCAAAATAATAATCCAATTTAAAAATGTGCAAATGATCCGAATCGACATTTCTCAAAAGAAAACATAGAAATGGCCAAAAAATATATTTTAAAATGCTCAACATGTTCATCAACAGGGATATGCAAATCAAAACCAAAATGAAGTATCATCTAATGCCAGTTAGGATAGCTATTATCAAAAAGACAAAAAATAGCAAATGCTAGTGAGGATCCAGAGAAAGGGGATTCTTACATACTTCTGGCGGGAAGGTAAACTTGTATAGCCATGGTAGAAAACAATATAGAAGTTCCTCAAAAAACTACAAGTGGAACTACCATATGATCCAGCAATCCCACTACTGGGCATTTATTTAAAACGAAGGAAATTAGTATATCAAAGAGATATCCACACACCCATTTTTATTTATTTCAGCACTACTCACAACAGCCAAGATACGGGGTCAACCTGGCTGTCCAACAACAGATGAATGAATTAAGAAAATGTGGTATACATAAGCAACCAAGTAGTTTAGCTTCCAAACTCTTTTTTTTTTTTTTTTT